AGTGACCTGTTTCTGGACTAAACGCATCTACACATCTACTGCTACATCTGTTCTCTTTCTTTTTCTTTTTCTTTTTCCCATTTACAACCATTTTTTGTGCAATATATGCCAGGGACCTGTGCAATACATTTATATTTATATCTATAGTTACATCTATATTTATATTCATATGTGTGATACGATTTTCTGTGTACTGTTCTGTTTTAGTTTGTTCTTGTGTGTCCGGACTGTGAGTAACTCTTGTATTGTATGGGAACTTCATCTCTTGTATTGTATTGTATGTATTGTACTATTATTATATAATTCGTTACACTGTGGCTATGTTGTGTGTGTTAAGCTGCTGTTGCACTGCAATTTCCCTCACGGGATCAATAAAGTATCTATCTATCATCTATCTATGTATCTAAGGACAAGTAGAATTAAATTCTAAAAATTCAATAGGATTCAAGTTTGGTTTAATGTTAGGAGACTGAAATGTCATGTTGCATTTGCAATTAGAAAGTACTAAATGTATTCTTTAGGATAAAGAATACAAGAAAATGGTTTGGTCAAATTACATTGTTAATATGCTCTGTGGAATGTATTTTTGAAGGGTAATAAAATTTGTAGATTATTGAAGACTGATTGTTATTGTAACATCACTCTTGGGAGACATGGTGTATGCATGGCACAGTAGAAGTTTAGTGAGTCTTTTATTAATTAGCTGTTTTTAGAGAGCATGTCTCCTACAGAAAAGGTGGGAGACTTCTGTCAGTACAGCATATCCTCCTTATAATGCCACAGCATACAGCACAGTGGATACAGCCACACCGGTGGTGATTTGTCAGAACCCAAGCACAAGAGACTAGAGAATGAAAAGTGAAAGAGGATTATGAGAATTACTGGCCAGTGGGGCTGATCAGCCCAGGCCAATCAATAATGGGAGGAAAACATTGATCCCAGGAGAACCCAGGCTAGCTGCATCCCTAGCAAAAAGAAAGGTCACTGAATTTAGACCATTGGAAAGGGAGCATCGGGTACTGAAAGGAAACCAATAGTGAGATCCCTTAAAAGGAACAGAACAAGCTTACAGGGCAGCCCTGGCTAACTCGAGGGTCAAGGCAGTTAAAAGAGAAAGTGAAGATTAAAGATGCTGGCTAGAATAGAGACTGCTTCCTCAAGAAATACAGGGCACAGGCAAGGAGCTGGAGGTGCTGTGCCAGGTGATACTGTGAGCAGGCTAGGGGCGCAGAGCGAAGACTGGAAGCTAAGATTGCTGCTAAACAGAATCCAACCATCAGAAAACACGGAGTCTCGTCTACAGGAGGAACGGAATTGCGAGTTTCCTGGACAAGGAGCCAACAACTAGAAGGGCAATCTTGAGGCTGCCGAGACTGCTGCACTGGGCGACGCTGGAGCTGAAAAATCCTGCAGGGAGCAAGGGCAGAAAATAAATAAAAGGAAGCTTGGGTATGGAGAACACCCGGATATTGAGCGTCCAGCAAAGATAGAAAGCTGTGCAGAGTAAAGTGCAGGCTTCAGGAAAAAAAAACAGCCAGAAAGCCCATGAGTCACTAAAAAATATTAAGGAATGTAGTGCCCTCTCCAGGTGCCTTAGCTGAAGCGCACTTGAATAATGAATGCGTCAAAGTGCATGCTGGGAATCGCTACAGGGGGATGGACTGAGGGTCAGCTGGGCATGTAAATAGTTGTAGTGTAGGAAAGGAAGTAAAAAGTGTTTTGTTGTTGTTGGCCCTGTTTTTCCCAAGAGTTGTGTCCACCCTAAACTTGTGTACTGGTTCCTATTGCTGCCCGCGTGTAATCAATTTTTTGTTGGTTGTAGTTAATATGGTTGTTGCTGCTTTGTTGTGGCTGGACTGAGTTCCATGAATAAAGAGGGTGTGTTTAACTCCAAAGCTGATCCTGGTACTATTTTTCCCTGCACGAATCCCTTGGCTGCCACAGGAAGGATTGGGTATGGAGAAATTGAAGGAAACTTTTAAGAAAAGGAGAGAGAAACAGGCATCAGGGAAGTCATGGGGTAGCATTGTTAGTGCAGACAACACTATCCAGCTCAACAAACAAAAAAGTGGAGTGAGACAGAAATGCAAATGCTGGAATTGAATACTGAGCTAATTAACATGGATCCCAAAAACATACAAAATGAAAGACATAACTTAAGATGCAGTATAAACCAGAAAACCCATGTTAATTCCTGGTTTGAAATAAACATGTTACCTAAGACCATTAAGAACATGTGGAGATTTAAAATAAGAACAATAGATCATCAGACTGGTTTGAAATGACAGGACGCCCATCTAGCTCATTTTGAGCTCCTCCTCACTCCTACTCCTTCACTCACCTAGAGTCTTGTGTTTCTTGAGTGCAGACACACAGAGCTTCCTGTTCCTCAACCCTATGACACTACTAATCCTCTACTGACCAGCCAGCCTTTGGTCTTCCAAGGTCGGCTCCAGCCATTGACACCTTCCTCCTGATGCCACCAGGCTGGGCCTCACACTCACTCTGTTTCCAGTGCCTCACTCTTGCACTGGCACTTTCTACACTAACAACACCAAGTCTCTTCCGCACCTCACTCCATGCTGAGACTTAACACACTTTCTCTAATTAAAATTGCATGTACCCACAAAACCTCTCAGGCGACTCATTTTCCTTGCAGCTACCAGTGCACCTTCTCCCGACCACTGTGTTTCTAAGACATGCAGCTGCTGGTGTATCTTGGCCAGCTACTTGCTTGTCTCATCTACACACTGTTTAGCATCAGTGGTGCCCTCACCTCATTGCCACCACATGCTCTCCACCAGAGATCTGCAATTAAATGGACCCTACTCTTTCCCCCAATACCCCGTTTGCTGGCAAAGGGTCTCTGAACTGCCACCGACCCTTTGATTACACTTGTGCTCA